TACAAGAGTAAAAGGTGTCTACGACATGGATGTAACAAGAGGTCCTAGTAGTGTTTTTAGTAAAGAAGAAGAAAAAGACATTGTCACTTGGATCTTCAATATGAGCAGATGTGGATTTCCAATCGATAAACAGCATTTACTCGATACNATACAGAATATTGTACAAAAAACTGACAGGAAAACACCTTTCACTGATGGTAGACCATCCAAACATTGGTACAGTGCTTTTTTGAGAAGAAATCCAGAGCTCTCCGAGAGGATGTCTCAAAATTTGACCAAAGCAAGATCAGAAGTTTCAAGAAAGTCTTTCGAAGATTGGTACACTGAAGTTGGTGGATACCTTGAAGAAAAAAACTTGAAAGACATTGATCCCAGCAGTGTATTTAATCTAGATGAATCTGCATTTATGTTGTGTGCGAAGAGTGGTAGGGTGTTAGTGTCAAAAGGAATTAAAAGTGTATACAATGTGTGCAAAAGTGATAAGGAGTGTTACACAGCATTGATTGGGGGTAATGCAGCAGGCACTCTTCTTCCCCCAATGATTCTGTACAGTTATGAGAGAATACCTAAAACGATTGCAAACAATTTTCCAAATAGTTTCATCATAGGAAAAAGTGATACTGGCTGGATGACAAGTAGTACATTTTATTCGTACATAGTGAATCACTTCCATCCTTGGTGTATTAAAGAAAACATACCTTTTCCGGGAATTATTTATGTGGATGGGCATAGTTCCCATTTAACCAAAGCATTAAGTGATTATTGCTGTGATAATCAAATTGAGTTGATAGGACTCGTGCCAAATGCTACTCATTTACATCAGCNCATNGATGTTGGCCTTTTTCACGTATTAAAAAATGCTTATAAAAACAGGCTCAGAGAGTGGAGACAAAACCATGATGGCCAATATCCAACAAAAGTTTTTTTTCCAACGGTGTTGGAGAAAGCTTTAAGTGACTTGGACTTAAAGGAAATTCTTAAAAATTCCTTTGAGAAATGTGGTTTGCATCCTTTTAATCACAATAGTATAGATTACTCAAAATTGATACCATATGATCCTGTACGTATCATCAGTAATGATCAAAACCATGATGAACCATCGCCAACTGTCTCATCACCTCACCAACTATCTCACAACATTGAATCTATGATAAAACCAGATGTTTTGAAGATGTTTAAAGAGAATGTAAGTCCAGACTGGAAAGGATCTATTGAATACAAGAAATTATTTGTTGTTTGGCGTCAGTGTATTAATCAATCAAGTAACAAAGTGAGAGGTGCTGAACCTTTATGCACATCAAACATTAACTGTCAGTCAAGTGTGAATACTGGGTGTCAACTACACAAAAATGGTTCATTTGAAGTCACTGTAACTAACAATACCGTGACATCTCAAGTTCCTGAGGAAATTGTCAGTGAATTGGTGCAAGATGGCATAGTAGAGACAGTACAATTAATTGAGCATCATTTAGATGTGGATAATTCTTGTACGCCAAACAATGTTGAAAGTTCTTCGCTCAATAATAGATTTGATAACAGCTTATCGCTGAGAAACCAAAGTATTCTTAGGGACTTGCACAACATTGATCATTCTCAAAAGGTATGTAATTGTTGGACACAATTTAAATCAAGTCTTTTTTACTTTACTTTGTGAAAACGTTTTTTTTTTTAATTTGTTTAATTACAATTTCATGTTCCATTTTACTAGGATGAATATCATGAAAATGATGGTGGTAGTCCTCTTAATTTAAGTGTACCTCATAAGAATGAAAGAGCCTTCCCTGAGCCTGGTGACTTTCAAAATCTATTTTCGATTACACAAGGTTAACTTTTCTGTACTCGTACTTGACTAAATTTCATACCTTGTTGTAGATTTTGGACCCCTGTCGAAGGAGCATCTGAGAACGAATACTGATGGACAAACGCTCAAGAATGATCACAAATCAAGTAAGTTCTAAGAAAAACACTCTGTAATCAAAAGCCTACCTTACTTTTTGTATTTTCAATGATTTTATTTTTCAGGATTATCTCCACAAAAAGCTTTTTTGAGCAACAATATAAAAAATTACCTCATGTATCCAAAACCAATAAGTAATGAGAACAAAAAAAAAGACTAAAGTAAAAAAAGAAAAATTACCAGCTACAGCCACAAGTCTGGAATGGAGATGTTATCATGATTTGAAAGAAAAACAAAAAGCACAAGATAAATTGGAAAAAGCTGAAAGAAAAAAAATCAAAGAAGAAAATCTTACAATAAAAAAGGAGTTTGAAGAAAAAACTTGAAGAATTTAAGGTCTGACAAAAACGATTGTCAAAAAGAAATATGTCTTTTAAATGCTAAAATCACAAAAAATAAGGCCGAATTAAAGTTATTACTTTTGAATTTAAAAAATAAGCAGAGTGAGTTTTCTGAGGACGAAGCAAAACTGCAAATCAACAATTTCAATGACTCCATTCGAAGTGACCAAAATCAGCAGCAACAATTAAAGAGAAAAATTGAATCGCTAAATTTGAATATAAAAAATTTCAAATTAAATAATGAAAAAAGAAAACCTTTGAAAATTGTTAATTAATTTATTATTCTTTTAGTCATGTGATTGCAATAATAATTTATTATTTTGTTGTGTAGTATATTAAGTGAACTGGTGAACTCTTGCTCGTAGTATTTATTTTTATTTATAACCTTACTTATCTAATACAATCATTGTAGCCTTGAGTAATTGCTGAATAAAGTTCAAAATATGATAACACATTCCTTATTCCTTTTTTTCACTATCTTTAGCTTTAAAGTAGTTAAATTAATTCATTTTTTATCTCGGTAGCGATTATTAACTACTGGGTCCAACCGTTATCAACTACTGCTCCAAGCCGTGACGTCATTGACAACTACTGGGTCTGTCGTTTTTTTTTCTTTAGATATTTATTTAATATCTGAACGAAAAAAATGAATTCGTTTTGGCTTTATTACATTATTAAATAGGTAAATTACACATTAGAAAAAAAAATCTTCATTTTCTATTAACTTTCAATAGTTTACAGCACATTTCCCTTACGTTGACAACGACTGGGTCATTTACCTTAATTCTTTTTTATTTTTGCTGCCAAGGACGTGCCAAAATTGGACGGCACCATCGCTAGAAAATCCAGCAGCGAAGGGCCCGTCGCAATGTATAGATCAAGAAATTAAATATTTTCTAAATAGAATTTAGAAAATATTCTGTGGGAAAAAAAGTAAATGGGGTAAAATAACTATATGTAAAGCATTTGTTAGCTTTCAGTATATTACAAAAAGTAATAAAAATATCAAAAAATGTTTTATATACAAAGTTTGTAATAAAATTGCTTTTATTTATATCAATATTATATCAATAATATTATATCAATATTATATCAATAATATTTTTAAAAAATAATTATTTTTTATCATTTGTTTTGAAAGTATATTTTACATACTATTTAAGATGGCTATTGTGTAAAACAGTTTTATACTAAAATTATTTATGTCAATAATAATTTTAAAAAATAATTACTTGCAAAAAATGTATTTAGATAATTTTATTACATATATATCTTTTATATAAAACATTGAAATTTTATTAATTTTAGTTCTAATAAGCACAGTTTCAAATAAATATTAAGGCACATAATTTATTTTTTATTATTATTTATCTTTTAATACAATTAATACAACAAAATTTAATACTGAGTTTTTATTATTAACAATAATAATAATTTAGTTTACTCTGTAAAATGTACTTCATTTTTTTTTTTTTCGAAATATTTATATGTAATTACATACGTATGACGATAATTTTTTGTGATATATGTATGTGCGCCTCAACTTTTTCAACGATGATTGGCTATTTCAAATGATTTAGTCCAACGCGACTACGTCATGTCTTTCTTTATCAATTTATGACGTCTTATTGGTCGATCGATAATGTAACGTGTGTGTGATCTAGCTGAGTCTCGATCCATTTTTGCGCTCAGACGCTTATAAGATAGTCCTTTGTAAGATCTTATATTAACGCGAATATGAGGCACTAAATAAACAATTTATGTAGTGTAGTTCGCCTGTGTCTTTGCACAATAACTATCCGCTCTTATCTTTAAACTACATCGTAACTTTCTTGACATGGTTAAACATTAACCTCTAAAAAGCAGTTTTTGAGATAATTTCCGGCTTATTTTGGTTCCGATTTCATAGCTCATCTTGTGTATGTTAATCCGGTGGTTTAATTAAAATTCTCGCTTTTGCTGTTTATATTTGCAAAATGTCAAAAGAGGTAAGTAGATCTCAAATTTTCAAGTCCACACACACGCATGCACGCACACACTTTTTTCGTATATTACACCTTCTTTTCATATTATTCTGCTGTATATTGTTCATAAAACTATAATATTTTGTCATAAAATACTTCGTCTTTTTTGAGCTACATTTGATATTAAATTTTAATATTTTGAAATAATTTCTGTGCATATATATACAAATATATATATATATATATATATATATATATAAGAGAGAGAGAGAGAGAGAGAGAGAAAGAGAGGTAGTAAGTTTAGGATACACTAAAGATTCCGTGATAGGTATTAATAAAATATGTACAATTTACTTTTGTCAAATTTAAAGAAACATGCATCTGTTTGATTTTTTTTCACAAATATACTACAATCAAATGTACGGTAGTAGCGGACAATTTTAAATAGATCACTTTCAAATTATAGAAATTATAATGATAATACACATTTTGTTTTGGGTTTTTGTTTATAGAAGAAAAGAAAATATACTCAAGCTTCTAAAGCCAATGCTAAACGTTTCTGTGAAGCTGAAATCCAAGATCAGTTGATCGAGATAGAAACTATATTAAATGAATTGGATAGAGTTCAAAATTTCTCTCATGTTTTACCTATGCATATTGAAGAAATCAATAACGTTCAAGATAATAACTTAATTTTTTTAAATGTATTACAAAATCCACCATACAACACAAATCATGAAAATACTGAATGTAGTGAACACAGTGATGAATCAGAAGATGAAACTAGAATTCAAATAGAAACTTTTGGTACTGAATATTTGAGATCGCCCTATTCATGAAATAGAGGCATACTTATTGAACTTCTTATCAGAATAGGGTGCTCAAGATATATCATTAAAAAAAATAGACAAACTTTTAGCAGCGTTGCGAGTTATTTTCCCTGCTTTGCCAAAATCTTATAAAACAATTGTTATGTCCTGGAGACTCCACGGTCCCCTTTTTCTCGCAACGCGACGTGCTGACTCATAACAAATTCTCCTTTTTTTATAAATAATTAGAAGCAGTAAATAACTCAAACGGATATTCATTTCGAAATTCGGACTTCGAAACGATAGGAGAGGAAACAGAAATCGTGTTGGCGCTCGAAATGATAAACCGCGGCTAGTAATAACCCTAAAACTTCCGCCTTGAGACAATAGCAAGCAAGAAGAATTTATTGTTTAAACACTCCGAGCAACTTTCCAAGTAAACCCGGTTACCTCCGGGTTAAGAAAATTACCGCTTATAAAATTTAAAGCAGCCGGTGCAAATAGAAACTCCGGCACAATAAGCAGTTTTATTATCAAGAAATATCGAAGGATCTATGTGGCGTGATCGAAAAACTAACACTCTCCCTTTTTCCCTTCTCCAAAACTTGGACAAACTGTTCAAGATGGGAAGATCGTCGCCAATTGGCGATCTCACACGACCAACTAATTAACGAATAAGAACCAGCGAGGCTCAACCGAGTTTCCCGATTGAAAGAAACTCGGTGAGTGCTCGCTTACTTGAAAAGATATATAAGACGGAACTCTCGGGGCTGGAGTCAGAAAAAAACCCGCTGATTTCGCGTAAGCCTCCGGGAGTGCTGCACCAGACTCGCGACCGAATCGAGTGCCGAGTGCAAATTCAAAAGTGAGTGTTGTGCCAATATACCAAGTGCCACCAACTAGCGAAGCTGCACCGACTCGAACCAGCCAGCCGCCACCTAACTGCCGAATCAGCGAAGCACAATTTCAAAAAAATTTTGAAAAATTAATTTTTATATATAATAGTTCTCAGCTAATTTTATAGAAATTTTATATATTTTAAAGAGTTCTCGACAATTTAAAAAATTTTAGATATCTAACTAAACAAGTTACACACTTAAAAACATCTTTTCAAACCAGACAATTATTACACATATCTTTTTATCTAGTTATTTGATCACTTTGATCCATACGATTTTTCGTTAGAACTCGTCGAGAACTAACCAGAACGCTAATCAGAACTATCTGGAACTCTAAAAAAAAATTCATCCACTGAACTTTGAAAATTTTCTTGTCAGAATTTTTTGAGAGTTCCGGATAGTTCTGATTAGCGTTATGGCTAGTTCTCGACGAGTTCTAACGAAAAATCGTATGGATCAAAGCGAGTAGTTATGTTAAATTGCATTTGCCATTCTTCCGCGATAATAGCCAGTAAAGCTTGCGAGAAATTGCCACAGTCTTGTGAAAATTTATTTAATTTAATAATTAATTTATATTTAATTTATAATTTATATTTAATTTATATTCGAGGGGTTGCAACTTATATATCGAGCAGTGCAAAGAGATGTGCAATTTTGAAAGAATTTCAAGAATTTTTTGATGTAGAAAAAAATAAAATTTTAAAATTATCAAGTACTAGATGGCTTGTTTTACATAAATGTGTAGTTAGACTACTCAATAATTGGGAAGTTTTAAAAGCTTTTTTTATTCTAGCCATTCATGAAGATAAATTAAGATCTGCGGAAATTATTTTAACAGATTTAAATAATAATCATATAAAATTATATTTATTATTTTTAAAATATTCTTTGCATTTCTTTAATAGTTTTAACGCTCTGTTTCAATCACGACAAGTTTTAATTCATAAATTATTTGATAATTCGCTACTAATAATTCGGCAAATTGCTCAAAATTTCATTACTCCAGAGAGTTTGAAAAATATCATCTTATTAGATGTTGACAATGAGAATTACATTCAAGATCTAAATAATATATATGTAGGACCCAAATGTGAAAGCTTTTTAGTAACACAATCTTTAGAAGTCGCGCAAGAAATTAAGTTAAACTGTTTAGATTTCTATAAAACGGCAGTCCGGGAAATGTTAAAACGTTTGCCGTATAAANAAACTTTTTTTCAACAATTAGCTTTTTTAGATTCCTCTATTGCTTTATTTGATAAAGGTAGAATTAAAATTAGAGATNTAACTTGTGTGGCTAACCGTATCGCAAATATAGACATAACAAAATTAGCGTTCNAATGGAGAATTCTGCCATCAGTTTTTAATGAATCACAAAAACAAGAATTGTCTTCTTTAGAAATTGATCAAATGTGGTTAAAAATTTTAGAACATAAAGATTTTAATGGGGAAAAAATTTTTCCAAATTTAGAATTATTAGTACAAGCAATCCTTTCTTTTCCCCAAATGCCGAAGCCGAACGGATTTTTTCTATCGTAACA